GGTTCAGTCTCTCTATAGTTATAGAACCAAGACCTATGAGGGCACATATGGAAAGTGCGCCCTGTGTTTAGAATCCAATTTTTGTCAAATTCTTCCTCAGACACATTCATGACATGCAAACTATCAAATTCAGAAACAATAGCAGCATTATCAACATCAGAATTGTTCGAGTCTTTTTGTTTCCTTTTCCAGTCGAAGCAGTCTTTCTTGAAATGTCCTAACTTTCCACAGTGATAACATTTCTTACCGCTTTTATTTTTAGATTTGGATCTCATTTTAGATTTTCCTCTCCCCTTCTTATTATGGAAGTTAAATTCTTTCTTTTCAGGTCTTCCTCTAACAAATAGACTCTCTTCTCGGGAATGAGTTCTGTTGTCTCTTTTGAATTCAAGTTCTCTTAATTTTAAAGCATCGAAAACAATAGCTTGAGTGAGAGTGTCCCTACCATATTTTATGGCATTTTTCATTTCTCTGTAAGATTCGGGCAAAGAGTTTAGCAATATGACAGCTAAATCCTCATTGTCAAATTTTTTATCATTATGAGCTAGACTATTAACAATTATGCTAAAGTCACTCAAGTTCCCCTCGACATCCTTCCCCGGGTCCATCTTAAAACTAAACAACTTTTCCAACAGGTATATTTTGTTAGGTAAAGTTTTAGTTAAGAACAGGGCATCTAAAGCAATCCACAAAGCTCTAGCAGTTTTAGCACTATCAACTTGTCTTACAATGTTGTCAGATAGATGCAAAATTATAGAACTGTAAGCAATTTCATTCATGTCTTCAATTTCAGTTGGTTTAGCTTTTAACTCATCAGAAAATGTAGCGGGATCATCGAGAGCTTTAGCAACTCTCTGTTGGACCAAAATGGCCCTCATTTTATGTTTCCATATCGAGTAATCCTCCTTTCCATCGAATTGCGATAATTCGACCCTCGAACCCATTACAAATTCTGTAAAAGAGTGGCCTGTACTCGTGGACATAACAGAAAATGTTTTGAAAAATTCTTTTCCAGATGATCAATATAAAAATATGAATGCCGAGTTAAAAACAATTTATTTATTTTTTAGAAATGAAGCACAACAATGAAATAATCCGTTCACGAAACACAGGTATATAATACAGGTAAATATGCTTCCAGGTTACAAATTAATCACAAGAATTCAATCAACGGAGTTCACAAATAGGCAACCAAGCAATAATCATGCATAAATCGGTAAGAATACCAAACCTAACCTAACGGAGAGTTTGGAATAATCTTACCAAACTACTGTTGAAAAACAGTAAATATACCAACAAGTTTCTGAACCGAATCACTGTATACATCAAGCTAGGGGCAAAATCGTCCAAATTTTTATGTAAAACTTGAAAAACTAAAATAAACACATTAATACGTTCAGCATGTTAAACTAAAAAATCTGCCCGAAAAAACCTCGCCGAAGACCGCCCACGTGCCCCCGCCGAAAAATTCACGCGCCATCCCACTAGCACCTCCTTGATTTGCAGAGCACGCTGGTGGTCTCAGATTTTCCAAATTTCTTTTGGTTTGGTTGGAAATTGCATTTGAAGGTCTGATTTTCGCACAGATTTTGGACAGCCTTTTTCTCCTGTTTTCTGCTGATTTTTCTAGTTTGTTTTCTGCTGTTTTTCAGTCTCAAAACCTCCACAACTTAGCTCTGATACCAGTTTGTTGGGATCTCGAAGTTCAATCAACAATAAACATCATTTAATCAAAGATTCCAAAGCAAAAATGCAAGAAACATAAATCGAAAATACAACCCATTAATGGCCGAAAATTTGGACAGCAACTTCTCTTATTTATGGCTGATTTTCAGGCTCAAGAATAGCTCCCATGTCATGTAAATCACCTTCCAAAGAGAGAGCTAGAAAATCGGCAAAGAACCTCCTTTGAAACCGCTACCACCACACCCCTCTCTTCTACCAAGCTTTGAGAAACATCACCTATACTTAGCCACTATTTCAGGCCTAACTTATCACAAGGGACACTCAAGAAGAAGCTCACAAGAAGGTACTCTCAAGAACACTCACAGTAAGGTGCAAATGGAGAGAGAAGTCTTGAGGAGAAGAGAGAGGGCCGAATTTTTAAGAGAGAGAGACTTTTTTTTTTTTTTTTTGCCAAAAACGTGAGAAAGCCCTATTTGGTGGAAAATAGTCAAAGCTTCTCACACAAGCTAAAGCAACAAAAAATATTTCACATAGAACAAATCCCAGCCGTCGATCCCATCCAATGATCCACAATAAAACTAGACAAGCACAATCAATGTGAATGACACAAATAGCACTTAAATCTAATGGAGTTAAGAGAACCATATTCTCACATACATTATTATAGAACCCATAAAATTTATGCTCACCATTAATGACATACTAGAAAATGTCGAGAGCAATGTTTCCATTTTGTGGCACAAACTCTCTTGGTATTTTTCATGGAAGACCGTGATAATATGTGATTGATTAATAGTTACAAATTATTCATTATATGATTTCTATCCTTATAGAATGGGTGAATAAAATCATATTATCTAAACTAAATTAAACATGGATAAATGTGAAAGTTTACTTCGTAAAATCAGACAAAAACGGCTGGAAATTGGTTTAAAGGAGAACTAAAATGGTTAAGTACGAAATCATAAAGTGAGAAAACTGAATTTCGAGTCAACTTCGACTAAATATTCGAACTTGATTCGATAGTCAAATTATGAAAATAATTAGATTAACTTGTTCTATTCATCGAGTAGATCATTGTGATATATTTCGAACCTCAAAACCAATTTCAAATTAATGAGAAATTGAGTTACAAGTTTGGAAAGAAAAGAGGAAAAACTGGTTAGGAATTTACCCTACTCTACCGCTCGAGTGGTGAGCAAGCAGCAGTGTCACTACTCGAGAGATAGTCGAGTGCTAGGTGAACGAAAAGGTCCTTGCATAAATAACACCACTGGCGCTCGAGTGGCGCGCCAGCAGTAGGCGAGTGGTGGAGTAGGTTGTGACCCTTCGTGAAGGCTAGTGAGGTTTAGGACATGTTTCTTACTCACAACATCTCCTCTTTTATAAATAAGACAATTGAGACATCCTTTACTTCAACCAACCACATGCAATCATGGCATAACATAAAAATCATATTTTCTTAGCCTAAGTTCTACATGAAAATCTGTTTTCATTTCATTCGAAAGGAGTACAAAAGCCATATTTTTGGTTCATTGTTCTTGTGTTTTGTAGTCGTACAAACACAAGAAGATAGTCGTTTTATCTTGAGACTTGATTGCCATAATTTGTAGAGACTATTACAGGGCAAAATTGACTTAAAAGACAAGGAGTTTGACTCCTAAACTGGTTAGCACAAACACAAGGTAATCATTTCATTTTGATCGAAAGGAGAACAAAAGCCATCTTTTTGGTTTATTGTTATTGTGTTTTGTAGTGGCACAAACACAAGAAGGTAGCCGTTGTATCTAGGAAGTTGATTGCCATAATCTGTAGACACCGTTGCGGTGCAAAATTGACTAAGGACAAAGAATTCGACTTGCATCCATTTCCTTGGTGTTACTTTATCCGATTTCATTGGCTTTTAAACTTCCATTTCTTTGGTTTGTATTACTCAATTCCTTGCCATTACTATATCCAATTTTGGTAATGTTGATTTCTACTTGTTTAAACTGATTTTGTTTCGGTTTAGCTTCTTCTACTCCTCCTCCAATCTTGATTTTTGTTGGTTTGTTTTCTGCTTTGTGCATACAGAAATGAATATGATTAATAATATAGGTTCTACTTCAAATGATATTTCGAATACAGGAACTTTAGAAGGAGTTGTTCCTAACTTGGTTCCTACCTTTGTGAGTCCTCCGGTTGACATTGCCGCTCTAAAATTTGCCATTTTCAAAGTTCATTTTTTGTTTTGGGTGTGTGGAATTTTCATGAGGTTTAGATCTTCTAATCTACTTCTACTAGTGAAACATGATTTTTGTGTTTGAAGGCCAAAAGTAGAAATTTTCGTGGTAAGAAAGGATAGAAATTTTCGTGGTAAGAGTATAAATAAGATGATCTTGCTTGACCTCGTCCACTACCAAAACCAACAGAAACATTTCTAGCCACAAAACACCTCTTACTCATATTTTTCTCTTCCTTCTTTAGTTGCCGACTATGCTCTTTTTCAATAGAAAACAGCCCAGAAAAATGTCCTTGACGAATATGCTCTTTTTCAATAGAAAACAACCCAGAAAAATGTCCTTTTCCGATGACTTTATGGATGTGGTGATAACATGTTTAACGTATCGTTTTCCACAAATAATGCCAATCTGTTGACCTCAAAAAACGTGCTAACAGAATTTTTATCTCGTCCCCTCTATGTGGGCATTACTTGAATACTCGAACTTCCCATTAGGAGGCAAAGGCTACCGGTCGATAAAAAGGCCCAGCGACTATTTGAACTCTGACGATCAAGTCTACGACCGAATGAAATATAAAAAGTGTAAGAGACGGGTGAGGGGGTTTGGTTAGGATTAGAATTTCTTACCTTTGATTGTGAACAGATTGGTCTAGATATAGTGAAAGGAGACGGGCCAATTGGGTGCCAATGAAATTGGCCTAAATCCAAGCCCGATATGCAACTGTTTAATAAAATAGGCCCAATCAAATTGAATAATTAATACCAAGTCGACTAATGTGAGACCCCCTCTATCTGAGCATGCGACGTAATATAAGGTGTGACATAGGTCATACCAGAGTAGGAATAGGTTTGGGTTAAAATCACATACCACCCATTCAGAAAAAAAATTTGCACATCTGCAGGTAAGGTGGTCTAATTATAGTAGTGTTTCTTCCCCATATCAAAATTTTAGTTGTTTTCAGAGACGTTTCAAACAGAAAAAGGGGGTTGACTCTTTTCCTCTCTATTGTTCCCCACTTTCGGAGAAATGTAAACACGATCAAAACTCTAGAAATGGAGTTGAGTCGTGCAATTCTTTTTTAAGCTAGCAAGCCACCACAACTTTGGAAATTTTGTTAATGCATACTAATTAAGTACACCAGAAGGATAGAAGCAAGACCAGATCTCCTGAACAAAGCACACTTACAAGGACATCAGATGCACCCATCAAAGCAAAATAAAACATGAAAAGCTTAATAGGCAAATTATTAATCCCCAAAGAATCCATCTGCATGGCAATGCTGCAAGAAGGCCTAGATGGCTGAATAACAAGCAAGTCATGAATTGGGCCAAATTCCACTCGAAGAAAGAGGTTTACTGAAGGCCATGAACCAGAAGGAGAACTAAATCTTCATTATCTGAAAAATCAAAGGGCAAATAGGTAGTGGAGTGGGTTGAGAAAAAAATACTTTATTTATTTATTTATTCATTTTCTTTATATTTTTTAGTCATTTAGACAAAATCTGACATGTTTGGTATAATTGACTCGATAAAATTAGAATGATTCAAAAATCGAGACAATAATAAAGTTTCTCATATGCAACGTTCAGTAGTTTCCAATCTAACGTATCATAATAGATCAAATTCAATTGGTTCAATACAAGTGCTTGAGCAACCTAATTAATTTTTATATAAAGATTAAGACAATTTTTAAAAAAACCCAAGACATCCAAAGACATATATCGAAGCAGTTTATTATTTGTTTGTAAAATTCCTCACATTTCCAGTCTTAAAAACATGAGATAAACCATGCTGCGAATATTGGCTAAACTGAGAATGAATTTTGTGTTTGGTGAGGTGAATCTAAACAAACAATGTAAGAGTTGTGAGTAAAACAATTTTATTGGGATTAAACCATAAAAAAAATAGTGTTTATTTTGAAGTTGAACACTGCCAATTCAGAATAGAAATTTATATTCATTATTCCCACCAAATAAAGAGAAAAAAAGGAGGCGAAAGCAAAAAGAAGGGAAAAAAAAAACTAACCAGTACTCCATTGAAGTGGACTGCTTATATTCACCAATAATAAGAACTTGAAGACTATCATTTCCCAAGTTCTCTTGTTCCTCTTGTATTTGCTTTGCTGAAGTTATAACAGAATTACCACAGTGAAAAAGCTCGATGGATTGAAGAGTTGGAATTTCTCCAATACCACTAGGGATCTTGAGATCTCTGCAGTTCTTAATTACTAGGCGCTGAAGTTCTGGGAAGTGGATGCTGTCAGCTATCCAGTTCTCAAGATAGACTTCATCAAGTAACAGAACTTTCAGTTGAAGAAATCCTCCGTTTTTGAATTCCCACTTTGAGCCAGGGAATATTTGTTCTTTGATTTTCAGCACTTGAAGATTGGGCAACCAACCAATGATCTCCATTTCTTCCCTATTAAGGGTGCAACCAATTAAAGTTAACTTTTTGAGCGAAGGAGGGAAAGATAGGTTGTTGAAGATAGGAAAAAACCACCCATGAAATTCGTAAGTTAAATCTTCAAGTTTATGTAGACGAACAAGATTATTCATATCCTCCAATGGATATCTGTGATACACTCCGAGCTTCTTTAGATTCGGAATTCTTTTGAGGACCTCCTCTGTACATCTGAAATTCTCTATCTTGGTGAGTGTTTGTAGATTTTCTAGAACAATTATAGAATTCTCCCTCGCGTTTTCTGCACTAGCTGGAGGATCAAGAAATATTTGAGGCTTAATCACGACATGCCTTAACTCTTGCATTTCCCATATTTTTGAGGTCATAATACTCCTATCCTCACCCCCTATATGCGTAACAATTAAGGTTTGTAGGTGCCGAAGTTTGTACACAGATGCAAAAACCTTAGAATTATCTAACGTTGGGAAATAGAGGTACCGCAAGCTAACCAGTTGTTCCCATGCAAATGACATGCAAGCGGGATAATAGTATTTGTGGAATACTCTGACAAGCCTAAAATTTGAACTTTCTATTGTATCTGGAAACTTTCCCCAACTGAAAAAAAGAAAAGACCGTGGTAGAAAACTTGATGGTGTTTCAGCTTCAAGGTCAAGCTTCGTTTTATGAGGAAGAACAGTTACACGTCGTGAAGTAATATCTTTTAACTTATTGAGGAGATACCAATAAGTGGGGTGAAAAAACATCTCCTTTTTAGATTGTCTCACACACAAGTTCCTTAATAAATCATGAATCTTGCATGTTTTGATTTTGCCCATGGAGTTTTTCTTACCACCCAAAATAAGATTTCTCTCTATAAGATCCAGCAAATACTCCTTTGCCACATCTTCTAATCTTTTACATCGTATTGGCTTTAGAATTCCTTCAGCAACCCATAAATTCACGAGTTCGAAAACACTAATGTTAGAATCTTCTGGGAAAATTCCCATGTAGAGTAAACAACCTCTCAAATGATGAGGCAGATGTTTGTAACTTAATGATAGTACTTTTAAGCACTGTTCATCATTTGAAGTCAATGTTGAGTGCAAACTTTCCAAAATATCACTCCAATAATGTTCTGTTTTAATCGCCTTTGAAAGGAGCCCCCCAATCACAACAATTGAGAGTGGAAGCCCTCGACAATTTTGGGAAATTTGCTTCCCAATTTTATCCAGTTCAGGAGGGCAACAACCCTCATGACCGAACACTGTGTCACAAAATAACTTCCAACTTTCAATGTTGTTTAGAAAACGCACTTGATGAAGTGGAGGACAAGAGTTTGCATGATCAGCGACCTGCTCTAACCTAGTAGTCAATATGATTCGACTTCCATTATTGTCATTTGAAAATAATCGTTTCACATCATCCCATGCCTTCTTATCCCACGCATCATCTAGAACAATGAGATATCTCGTATGGCTAAGAGTCTTGTGTAAAAGCCCTTTTAATTTGTCACTAGTCGCTTGAAGCCTCATATTGTCAGGGAGCATTTTCATGGAATCTAAAATGTCTAATATAAGTTTAGACTCATCATATTCTTGAGATACAGTTACCCAACCACGAATATAGAAATGATCTTTAATAGATAAATCATCGTATATATTTTTGGCCAAAGTTGTCTTACCGATTCCACCCATCCCGAGAATGGAGAGAATTTGAAGTTTTGATGATCCCGTAATCAGCCGAGTCCTGATCTCCTCGAATTGATCATTAAGACCCACCATCGTGCTCGCGCCACTGAGAGTAGGTTTTGATGAGACAGCACCCAACGAAGTCCTTGGCCGCAGATCTCGTATGCGAATCTCGTCCTCAACCTTCATCACCTCTTGCTTAATGGAATGGATTTCTTCCATAACTTTCTCTAAGGCCTCATTGAAGGTCACGAAGCTCTCAACCAGCTGCAAACTTTCTGATTTTGAAAGAAGTCCATCCACCAAGTGCGATTCTACTATATCAGTAGCTCTGTAAGCTACATCTCTGATTTGACTCTCCAAACGTTCTACTTTTTCGTTGTCTTTTTGCAAAGAATCTTCAAGAAAATTCTGTAAAAAAGTAGCTTCTTGAAGAAGTGTTCCAATTTGCTGTTTGTCAGGAATCAGATGGTGGATTAGGTTCTGCTCAATGGTGTTAGTTAGATAAATAAGGGCAGCAAAAGCCATTTCTGATATCTGCTCACAGTTCTGAAGAACAGAAAAATGCGAGCAGTGAGAGAGTAGGGTAAGGGGTGTTCGGCAAAATTATATGAGCACTGCTACCCTCGAAAAAAAGAGTAACTTGCCATTTATTTAATTGAATATCAGGCTAGCAAGAAGAATTTTGCAAGAATATTCGTCGTATGACAAAGTTTTTTTTATAAAAGTTATAACAGATTCTGAATTTGAAAAATCGTTAAAAATTGATTACATGAAATATGTAATTATATTAAAGTTTGATTTGTGGAAAAATTCATAAAATTTTATCTAACTTTGAAAATAGATATAAATTTGTCATCTTTGACTGTTTATCAATTAAACTTTGATAAAATTATAATAAAACAATTTGTTTATCGGAGGATACGTGATTTCTCCAGATTATAAGCATTGAACATTATTTTGTTAAAAGAAAAGATTTTATTACAGTGACAATGAAAGAAAATTTTAAATTATTGGACTTGTTACATCTCATTTTACTAATCAGTCCGATAGTGACTTCGGTGGCTCTTGGTTCCCATTTGATTTGCAATTTTTTTTTATTTTTTATTTATTATTTTGTCTTTTCTAAACTAATATTAACAATGTTTTATTCCATAGACTTTATCAAACAAATATCGACTAATGTGTAATTACACTTTTTTTTTTCTGGAAATAAACTTTAATCCTTTTGTACTAGTTAACATGAAATTCATTTGACATGCTTTCTTCTTCTTTAAGGTGTTTAATTATTATCAAGGTGAAAAAAGAAATGATTGGTTCTAAAATTCATTTAAAAGTCAAATTTTAAACTACATGTTTCTTATGTAGTATTAAACATGTGTGCGCATGCCAATTCATTTATGCTCCCATGCTTTTGATTCCAAGTGCAATTAAGGTATGATTTATGTTTCATTTTGTTACATACCACTATAATTATTTCATTGGCCTTATTAAGTTGGTCTATACTTTTATTTTTAATCGATTTGGGATTTTATCCCTTGATATGTTCTTGCAAGATGGTGACTCGTTTGAGCAGACCAATTTTAAAATCTATATGCTCATTTTTTGAGTTTTAATCGAATCGAATTGCTCGTTGAAATTTAATGAGCTCTAATACCATGTTAAGATTTGAAGATCCATCTGAAAAGGTTGACATTTTAAGATGGAATCCTAAATCTTAACAATTGTTACAGCAACTATTTAGCAATTTGCAATTTCTTAATCCAGTAACGGGCTAGAAAAGTAGCTAGATTTGAAAGAAGTATGTGATGAAAAGTGAATTTGATGTTTAGCAATCGATCCTCCTTCTAAAATCAAACTGTTGATGGCAAAAACCATGGAGCTTTTTACTTTTATGGATTTGAACTAAATAAAAGTATTGTAATGCTAAAACTTTTTTTGTAAATGTATAGAGAGAAATATGAGTGTATACCCGGCCCTCATTCACCCTTTGTTCCTTTTTACTGGCTAATGGACTCAAACTTGTTGTCCTAGTCATGTCAACCTATGGTATATTGACCTATGGCTACTTGCCACCACCTATTTGAAGTAGTTTGATTGGTTGGTGACTTCAACTGCAGCGAGTCATTATAGTACTTTAGACCTAAGGTTGCATTCCACCTCCTATTTGAAAGAATTTGATTGGTTAGTGGATTCGGTTTAGTGGGTCATTATGGCATTTAGGCCTGTGTCCTTTGCCATCATGTCATTTCCTTGATTTATTGATTTCGCGGTACCTCTATTAAAGGAGAATACTTTTTCTATCGTGTCATGATGATGTTTTCTATAATTTGAGTTACGATATCCATCGATGAAATATTAGGTCAAGGTGTCGAGCTAACCTCTCAAAACTCTTCGACATTCTGACTTTTTGACCAAGTCATGGGGAGGCCTCATTCCATTTTGATTTCAAATTGACAACAACAATAATATTGCATATTCTTCTTCAAAAAGTTAAACAATAGGAATATTTATCCTGGACAAATTTACATGCTTTGTAAGTAGATAGACACCACTCACATATTTAAACAGAAAAATCATTTTCATGTGAAGAAGTCGTAATCAATGAATATTTATTTCCAATTTGAAATTATGTCTGAATGCAATAGCCAAGGCCGCAGATGGAAAGTCATAGATGAACATAATAGATATATAATATTATTATGCTATCCATCATTTCCTTTAATTTAAATGTTTTCTGCATCTAATTTGTTGGTTGGTGATTTCTGGCAGAATTATTAATTTAAGGGTAATTCCACTTGTACAGAGGATTTATGCTAAATTGTAAATGTAAACTTCATAATTATTATAATTCACGCTTGTGATTGCCCCGTTTGATACACATTAATGTAAAAATGAGAATGAAAAATATAGTCGTTACGGGCCCTACACAAGAGATAGAAAGTCAAATATGGTGGCTTGATGTGATGGATAACGATCATATTTTTTATTTTAATGAACAAATAATGGAAAACAAACGAGGCTAAAGAATCTTATTTGTTGTGAGGTCTCAATCTTAATCTATTTTCTAATGTTTTGGTTAAGTGGATGACCATTCCAACGAAGAAGACAAATTTCACATGTTCCCATGTATAGTCTCCAAAGAATGATTGGAAGCTGTATGCAGTTGGACAAGTCATTAATTTTAAGAAATTAGAATTTCAACTTTTCTGATTTCAAGAAAATTATATTAAAAAGTAGCTTCTTGAAGAAGAGTTTCAATTTGCTGTTTATCAGGAATCTATTGATGGTGTAGGTTCTGTTCAACAGTGTTTGTTAGAGAAATAAGGGCAGCAAAAGCCATTTTAGCATCTTAACACACAGCTGAAGACAGAAAATGTAAGCAATGAGAGAGTTGAGTTTTTCAGTAACCCTTTCATAGTAATTGGTTCAGAAATCTATTTTTAAATATCAACTACATGTTTCCTATGCAGTATGGGTGCATATGTCAATTATTTCATTAAATTAGTTAGGTATTTTATTTGAGAGTTGGCGCATTAAGCACAAACTTGCAATTTTTAATTCAGTAAAGGGATGGAAACTGAATTTGTACAGTCGATCAAATTCTATGGAATTAAACTCAATAAAAGTGTTATAATGCCAGAAATTTTGTTATTGTACAGAGAGAGTTCGGACCTCCGCTTTCATTCACCCTGTGTCCTGCCGCATCACGTGATCTCCTTGATTGGATGGTTTCGTGGTGCTACCATTAAAGAAGATTACTTCTTGTATCAATCATGTCATAATGATATTTTCATATAACGTCTCTTAAAATTTGAGTTTCGATCTCAATCAATGGGTTAGTAGAACAAAATGCCAAGCTAACTTATCTGGACAATTCGAAAGGCAGGTTCTTTTTATCAAGTTGAGGGAAGGCCTCTGCTTATCCAATGAGATTTAAGGTCGACAACAACAATAATATTGCTTCTTCTTCGCAAAAGAATTTAAAGTTTAGCAATACGAATTATCTTGAAAAAAATTTACATTGATATGCAAGTAGATATCCACCGCCACATATTGAGGGGGAAAAATTCATTTTCTTGTGTCGGAGTCCCAATCGATGAATTATGTATTTCCAAATGGTAAGTTAGGTGTGAATGCAATTGTCAAAGGCTGCAGATGGAAAGTCATAGATGAACATTAATAGCTGTAAAATATTATGAATAAAAATTTTGATCCTATCATATCTCACCAAATCATCTGCATGTAAACTGTTATACAAATTATTATGTACATGTAGAACAACCGAAATATTATCACGCTATCTGTCATTTCCTTTAATTTTTAAATTTTTTTTTTTTTTTTGTCAGTTGGTGATTTCGATAATGGTCAGTTTGGCAGAATATTAATTTTGTTTCTTAATTAATAACATAAATTCTTAATATTGACTCTATAGAGTCTTTTTAAATTATAAGTGTACAACTCTTGTTCTCTCCATTTTTTTATCATTGTATTAAACAAGTCTATTAAAATCATAAATGTAAACTCCATAAGTGTAATAATCTGCACTTGTGATTAAAAGATTCTTATTTGTTATGAGGTTTCGATCTTTAATCTATTTTTAAGTGGATGATCATTTCAATGAAGAAGATAATTTTTTCTAGTCTGCAAAAGATTTGTTGGAAGAGTGTATGCTCTTGAACAAGTCATTAATTATAAGAAATTTGAATTTTTACATTTCTGATTTATGAAATACAAAGTTAGAAGGCTGCTTGGTTGGTTCATTTGGTCTTATTCATATTTGTATTTGGAAAATTTTATGGTCTTTTTGTTGTAGAAGACTTTGGATGAAGCAAGTATTTGGAATTTTTTTGTTATTTGCAAGATTCTGTAATGTTCATTTCGATTTTGGAATGCAAAGTAGTATTTTGAAAGTTAAGTAATGAGAAATTTCCGGGTCTAAATTTTAAGCTGGAAATATATTTACGTGTATTTCCAAATTAAAAATTAGATGTGAAGCTATGGCAAAGGGTACGTACATCACTTTTCACATTTTTTTTACAGCACACACATATGCAAGTGGGTGGGGTCCATGATTAAAATAATCGTGGGCCCCGCCTTTGTGAGGAATTGTGAAAATTGTTGTAAACACAAACAACATTTTTGAGGGTACATATTGAAATTCAATGATTGGTGGTCCAAGAAAACAAAATCTATAGGATGTCATGCGTTTTGGATTAAAATTTGAGTTTAATTTAAATCAAAGTCAAACAATTAATATTAACTACATCTTTCATGGATCTCACAACTTTTCAACTGTACATTTCAAAAATTTCTATCCCAATTTTCCAAAAAAATATATTTTTAATCCTCACCAAACACCAAAATTGTAGTCCTTTGGACACGGTCAATTTGGCACAAATATTGAAAAGGTGTAATTTTTACCTATCGGGGAAAAAAAAAAAAGCAAGAAAGTATTGCACTAGACGCTTCTTTTTGGGGACAATATGACGCAGGGGCAAATCTAGGATTTGAAGTGAGCACGGGCGGCCGGTTCGTTGGTTGCAATAAAATATTTAAAATTAAATATAACAATTATTTTTGATAAAAATGAAAATATATTTTATGCATACACTTATGCACTAATTTAAGCAAGT